AAATAAAGTGTTGACAGGCTAAACACGACTCAAAAGCTCGTGACATAATGTAAAACGTGAGATTGGTCACAATTGGAGTTTGCTTGAACAAATTCAGGGTTTTCTTCTATATTGCTATTTCGCGCGTAGGTGACTATACTGTGTTTCAAACTTGACTGAGTAATTCTTATTTTTGCCGCATTAAGTCTTACATTTATTTAGAGGTCATAAAGCGGGTTTTTTTCATCCATATTGAGTAATTATTTCATGTGATTAATGCTTCTGTAGGTGTTTCTGATTGTTGACTCAGATGCAATTGTAAAGTACTCATTTCTTTGAACACTCTTAAAGCCTAAAGCTTTTTATTATGGCTTAATAAATATTTTAGCTTCTTTTTTTCCCCTGACTAAAATGCCTGGATCTGAATTGAAAACCAAGGTGCCTTGGTTTGTAGTTTTTTTGTCAGTGAATGTGATAATTTCCGACTTTTGACGCTGGGCCAGGCTTTTAAGTGTTGTTTGCAGGATGTAGAATTTTTACAGATAGGGCGATCTTCAGATTTGAGTTGTAGCTTAAACTTAAGCTACACCAAGTATGAGGAATTATTCTGAGCGTTTTTCTTCTACTGTGTGCGTTTCACCGACCGTTCGATTTAGTGCGTTATTCTCTAACACCGAGTAATAGAGAAAACTGAGGTGGACGTTCTCAAAGCAAATTTACTTTTTCTGCTATTTCCGAAATCTGGTCGTCTATAATACTTTTTTAGAGGCGAAATTGCGATCATACAGGTTTTCGAGAAGGACCCCATTCTTCTTTGGCCATAAAAAGACAGTAAAGATCATGCTATTGCCAAACCTGTTGACAAAATTGCCATAGCATCTCTCCCATGAAGAAGACTGTAAATGGTCATTTCCTGTTTTGGCTCAAAAAAGCCCTCCGTCCGTGCAGGCGGTTCTTCGTTACTCCCGCCCGAATCTCCTCGCGGTTTCTCTTCCCTCGCCCGCCTTTATTACTTGCGCGCCCAACCAAAACCCTCATGCTATGCAAGCTATAAACATGTTAAATTACTTTACTGGCCCACCTCAATAGTGGGAGGGTGTCTTTATTCTGTTAAGTTACACTGGTGTGCTTCGATTTTTTTTTTCAAAAACTAATCATGCTTTGATTGGCCTCTGAGAGAATCTTCTTATAAAATATTATTTTCTTTTAACTGAGGTTACGTAGTTCTAATTTCAGCTCAACCTTTACCCGAAGTTGAAGAATTCAGCTTGACATTTAAGGCCCTCGATCTCCAAGTTTTATTTGCATCTCACTGGTTCAGAATGAGTGGGAAGCGTAATAGGATAAGGATCAGATAGGCGAATAACTGAAAAGTATATTTGTCGCAATGAACTGTTCATGGTGTGACTTAATTTATGAAATTTTTTACGGAAAGTATGTTATTGACCCAAGATATTAGTGTAAAGTATTAAGATTCAATGCTTCTGGACTTTATTTTTTAACAGATACAGATGTGATAGCAACTGTTTCTTTACAAACATTATTACCTCACTACATAGCATAAGTCTAGCACGCTTTTTAGAAAAGTCCAGATAATCACGTGACAAGAGCTCACTGCTGAGCTTTTGCTACTTCTTCAATGAAGATACGATTCATTGAATTCCAACCAGTGTAGGCGTTAGCAAGCCTATGTCCTGTGACGCACTTTCCAACCGAGAATCCCACTCGCACCTTTCCTTTCTGAATGTTATTGCAGTGACCTTCAATGTGGCGGTGATGATGAAGATTGTAGTTTCTGCCTTTATACATGTAGAATGCACCGTCAATAGTTCCAGGAGAGCTGCACTCGGCTCCATTAAAGGTAAAATACCAGCGACTACAGCTGTTGTCATATGAGGCAATCCTGAGATTACCAGCATAGTAGACATGGAGGGAAGTGTCCGAGTATTTCTTCAGAAAGTCACAGTTCTAAACGAGATAGAAAGAAACAAAATAGCTTCTGTGCCTGCAGTATGACAGTCAATCATTTTAGTAAAATCATCATTATCGCTGACCGCTGACCAAAGCATTATGACAATCAATCATTTTAGTGAAAATTACTTGCTTTGAGCTAATAGAATATTTTTTAACTCGGGTAACAAAATGACGATCCGCACTCACATATATCAGTCCTGAATCTTTGCTGTCCCCTTTTTTCCAAGCACACTCCTTCCAGTTCATGTGTGAAGCCAGTCGTGACGTTCCACTGTCGCCTTTGTCCCCTCGCTGTCCTTTTTGTCCGGCAGAACCCTGGATCCCAGGCTCTCCCTTTGCTCCTTTCTTTCCGTCAGTACCAGGTGGTCCCTGGGTTCCAGTTTTCCCCGGGCTACCCAGGTCTCCTTTGGCTCCATCTCGACCAGGTGCCCCAGGGGCTCCTGGGACGCATGTCATGTATGTCCACATCCCGGTTTGTCCGCCATTATTACAAGATGGACAAGGTGAAACAGTCTGCCAAAAAAAGAAAAGTTAAAGGCAAACTACTAGTAGCTCTTGTCAATTTTGTCTTTCATTTATCGTTTCGATCTAGGTGAGAGAGTGCCCAGTGATTTTCGTTAATTTGCAAGTTTTAATTTGGGTTTCTTTGATAAAATCGTAAGTTGTGATTAAAGAAATTCGTCTTTCAGCCCAGAAGCTATATACTAGTATCTACCACGTTACTAATAACGTTACTTTTGATTACGATTGATTTTTGCTTAGGTTGTACAAGTAATTATTACCTCCTTAATTTTTTTTTAATTTGAAACCCTTTTTTAATTTATCAAAAAAAGTAAAAAGTAAAATTAACAAATGATCATTATTGCCACTTTTCTCCATAAATTAACATTATTCGACGTAATCAAATCAATGTGTAGTGGTTATGAGTAAAAACACAGTTACCTTGGTGTCTGATGGTTTGTTGTCCTTGGCAGTGCATGCGCAGAAAGCGGCCAAGAGCGAGAAAATCATTGCAAACATGGTGGACAGTTTAACTCGTGATCGCATCATCAAAGTCCTCTAATTTGTGCACTAAAATTAAAGTTTGATCATGATATGAAATATCTTGATTAATTCAAACGAAAACCTAGTAATAAATATGATGAACACAACTTCGATTACGATATGCCTTGGAAAAATGAACGACTTGAATGCTAGCTATGGAATCTCCAAGACTATTACAGCGTCTTTCGAAGTAAACTTACCTTGTTCGTTTCACGATTGCCAAAGGCAAATGATAGCAATGATTACTGCGACAGGTTAATTTATCTCTCTTGTAATAATTACTTAATTTTTCTCGTTTCTTTAACAAGTTTCAAAGAAAGAGGGCTTAAGTTACCTTTCACGCGTAAAAGACGTTGAGCATTTTGATTGGTTCTTTTACCTTACCACGAAGAAATTCGTGTTTAATGTGTTTTTCAGTTACTGAGTTCCTGTGAGGACCATGCTTCTGTTCCAGTTCGAGAGTCTACCAGCCACAACATCATTTATGATATTATTTTATTAAAATTTTGTTGCATGTAGGAACAACCCTTAGTGTAGGGAACGTTTGTCTTTAAACCGCCGAGCGATCTTTTGATTCGGTGTTGTAGCTTCACGAGGATGGCCGTCAACTCATCGCTCTTTTGTGCAGTGGGAAAAACATTATTAATAAACTAAGGACAGTTTGCAGGACCGAATCTTAATTCAAACGCTGTTGTTGTTTAAATTAGGATTTTCTAATCTAGTATTTTGCCGAAAACTTGTTGAAAGAAGTACAAGTTTCTTTTCTCATTCCTCTATCCAGTATAAAAGCATAGAATTTACGCACATCCAAATTCGAGCATTTCTTTTTGCGGAAGTTAACACCTCAGAATATCCAAATAAGAAATTTCGTAGTCGCTTTAAACTTTAAGCTTAATTGACATGAATCAACTTTAGTTTTATTTTAATCTCTGGACACTGAAAATCCTTTCTTTTTTTTAATGTGGTAAATGATTCCTAATGCTTATCGACATCATACCTTAAATCGTTCGGTGGATTATATAATGAAGAGTGATTCCCACTTTCACGGTGCTTTGATCCGTGTACTCGGAATATGTTTGGAAAACAACAGACATTACCGTATGGGCGTAAGGAGATAAGAGCACGTGTGGCGTATGTATGGTTATGATTTACCTTGTTTGCCATATGTTTTCATTCCTCAACTGATGATCTGTCTTCATGAAAGTTACGAGAACTGGGAGAAAGAAGATAAAAAGAAACATTGAATCAAAAAGCATAATTTAAATAGAGTCAGAGAAAAGAAGAAAGCTTCGTACACTATACGTACCAACAATCTGCTAAGGGGACTGAATCATAGAATTTCCTTGTTTAAATTAGTTTCTTGTCAAAACATGCTCACTAAAAAGCCTACGTATGTATTCGAATTTCTATCACACAATTTCATTCGCTTACGGAAATATTTGGTTGCTAAGCAATCGATGCACGCAATGGAGGGCTTCCTGGGCATCATTATTTGAACCCTTGCTGGAGTTCAACTAAATCATTGTAACCAAAAGATTACAACTTTTGCTAAAAATAAATTGTTTTTTTTCGCGGATTTTTTAAATCAAAGTCCGATTATTTTTTCATAACCTATCACAAAAAGGTACCACTGTATAATTGAAAGAAGAGTCGCGATCTGTGATTTCGAGTGATGATAATCACTTGAGGAAATTATTCCCAAAACTGACCTCGAATAGAAAGGGTGGTACATTGTTATCCTCATATTTTCAAACTTCTTTCCATGTTAGTGGCCTTTCCCATTCTGGTCCATTCCAGTTCCAAACAGTGAATACTCTCAGTGTAACCAGTTAATTTTATTTAGTGATGTTACACGTATAGTCGCTCGATAATTCACCATCTGTGGCGTGTAGCAGATCGTAACTGTAAAGAACTTGCTTGATAATCTTCTGACGCTCCCAGTAAGTCCTCTCAGAAAAAAAATAAAACGTGGAATATTTTTTAATCGACTGCATTTTCAAAATCCTAAACTCACTTTCTGTCAGTTTTTGCTTATCTTTGAAGAATTATATGCGGCAGTTAATTAAGAAAGCAAATTCAGGTTCACAAATGTGTACGAAGACTGTGATGAAAAGGAATCATTATTTCTTGAACATACAGTTGACTACAGATAACTCGAACCCTCGCTAACTCCAACCTCGCGCTAACTCGAACCAAAGTCGATTTCCCCTGGAAACCTCCCTCTATCTCGAAGTAATTTTTGTTTCCCTTTAGCTCATTTCTATATGCAATTTTACCCTCGATATCTCGAACCATGTTGTAAGCTCTGACAAGTCGGGTAAAAAACCGTGTACTGAAGTCCGAAACATTGAATTTATTTCAAAACAACCAAGTAAATTCCTTGTCTTTACTTTTTTGTCACTCCAGTTCAAATTCAGTGTCCACTCCTGTATACTTTGTTGCTTAAAATTATTGCCTTTCCTTCCCATCCATTTGCTTATTTCCTTACTTCCGGTTATTTGCTTCAAACTCCCGATAACTCGAACTTTTTTCGATTTCCCTTAAAGGTTCCGATTATCGGAAGCCGACTGTGTTTATTAAGTTTCCTTTCTAATGAAGCGAAAAATCATTTTGAAAAGTAGATTATGGTTTTGTAGTTCGATAAATTAATAAGCTTGTCGAGCTGTAAAAATGCAAAAATATTTTCTACACGTCACTTGCGTTTTATTACGGGGCTAATGTGTCGCTGTGTTGAACACAGTTTTTATTATTATTGTTATTTTAGGTTGTGTTTATCAGTTGTTGTAGATATCAATTTTCTTCATTCAGTATTTCGAATTTATCATTCATGATCACCATTATAACCGTCTGATCAACAGTACTGTTGTTTTTTTCTTGTTCAGGCCATGAGGTTGACCCTATAATAGCTATTTACGACTCACGTTCGAATAAACGCCCTGACTCGATACTGCTGCGGTGATTCTCTACTTGCCCCGACTAGTTCTCAGTGTTTCTAAAGTGTTCCATTTAGCCCAAGTCGTAAAACCACTAATGTCTATATGGTCATACATATATCTAGTAAACAAAATTATGGAAAGGATTATCCACTAGCTAGAGAAGATATGCATGCAACGAACACAGATATGACGCGATAATTCCAAAGCAAGGAATCTAGTGCTATATATATCAGATTTGGAGTTATGAGTTTCTTTTCTCGCCTATTCAATTCATTGTTCTTTAATAAATGGTGAAAAGCTTCAATTTCATGGACCTTTTCTTCGATCCTCCAAGAATTCGAGGTTCGCTTGAAATATAACCATACTGCAAGAGAAAATGGCTTTGGATTGGGAATTTGGAAATGACTTCATTCAGTTGCTTTATTTATTGTTCTTCTTATAAATTTAACGGGTAAAAATTCCCCGGTCAGCTAGCTTTATAATAGTATCTCACCCTTGTGTGAAATTAAACCTTACGATTTTTTATAGCTGATCAATTTTGAGAGCTCTAGGACAACGGAAAATCTTTGTATTTTCTTCGAACAATTATAGTCTAAATTGAAGAGCTTTTCATTCAAAGCTTACGCATTAAAGTGCGAAATTTTGAGAAAATATTAATAACGTTAGGTTTGGCGCAAAGCCGCCAAGTAGGCTGGGTATCTTGGAATTTTTCATGTGCAGTCAGTATAGTACGGAAGCTATGTTTTGCAATTGTATAGACTCCAAAATAATGAGTTTGAAAATTCTTAGTAAATTCAGAACATTTTATCAGTGTACTTAGAGCTGTGAAAGTGTTTTTCGTTCACGGGTGAAAATTTGAAACCGTGTCACGCAGCGAGAAATTTACCGTAATTTTATGCTTCCAAATTTGGTCAGTACAAACGAGGATAATTTTGGTAATCGCCTTGGGATTTCCAGAGACCGACGAATATTCACGAGGATTTACCGAAAGCACTTGAATGGACGGTGAGTTATGTATATAGGAACTCCTAGCTTATTTATAACAGTAACAATATTAACGCGGCAGGTTAATGATATTAGAGACAAAATCCGAAAAGCTCAACCGTTCGACATAATATAAACACATCATTTTGCAGTTCACTTAAATTGGTAGGTAAATGATAATTTGAATTTCGGTTTAAGATATTTTGTAAAGTAAAACTAGATCGGCAAAGGTGAAGAAGGTCTTTTTTTTTCAAAAGTGTTCTTACCGATGAAATTGATGTTCGGCGTCTTATCTTTGACAGTACCGCAATATTCCGTGAAAAAAATTGATTCATCTAGCAAATTTTGGAGTTCCTTTGTTCTTGTTTTGTCCAGTTACGTTTACCTTAATTAATGTTCAATATTTTAAGATGGCTATTGTTACCTTATTGTTCATCAATGACACTTTTGTAAATGTAGCTCATCCTCTTAACGAACAGAAATGTCACTTTCCTTTGTCTTTCTTGTGTTTAGTCAAATTTTATGCTAAAGAGGAAACCTTTTTTTCAGTATCATCAGTTTAGTATCATCAATGCTAATCTGTTTAGTATCATTACTTCTGGTATCTACTATGTTTATGAATCAATTTTTGTCATATATTGACTGAGCCATAATCTTGCTACAAGTCGATCTCTCATATTAAAAGTTCGTGAATGTGAGCGAAGCGAACTTCAATGCATGAGGCCACGCATCGACCGTGCCAGCGACGAAGTCTCGAGGTTAGAATGGCATAACTAGGCTTAGCTATAAAAATTGTTGTTGTTTTTTTTTTAAGATTTTTAGACGCTGAAAAGATATTTAGAAAGTCTGGAGATCTTTAGAATATTTAGAGTTAAAAAAATCACGAACTATATAAATAATGCTTTTTATTGGCGTATTGAAGGAAGTTGATGGCGTTGATGCACTTATAAAGCTATATATAGGTCCAGAGGCAAGAGCTTAAGGCAAAGGAGTGAAGGGACTTCATATGTACTTCATGCCTTCATGGCTCATTCTCAGCAGTTTCACCGTTTAATTATGTGTTCCAGAATTTGGTTGTAGTTAGTTTCCAAAAAAAAACAAAAACATGGCGGAAGGAAGTTGTGTCAATCCTAGATCTGCTGAAAGGGTCTTCTCTTTGCTTGCTACCATGTTTGGGGATCAGCAGCACGAAACATTGGAAGAGTACATAGCGGCAGCATTAATACTGCATGTTAGTAATCGCTAGTTATCTAGACCTATTCACCCGATAGCTATAATATTGGCGGGCCGGTTTTACTTGCAAGGATTTTTAACTTTGATATTTTGTGTTATTATTTTGGGATTTTAGGGTACAATTTTAAGATTTTTAGTAATTTTTTATGAGAGTTTTAGAACTTTTTTGGAGATTATCAGGGTAGATTTTTAAGCGATTGTTTTAAACGGCTTTTAGAAAGTCTAACTAAGCCACTGCATTCATGGGTAAACCTTAGTTTTTTTTTACAGACAGGGAAAATCCAAAGTGTGGATATTCGTTAAAATGATCATGGAAATCAGTGTTTGGTTACTTGATAAAAAAAACTGAACAAGTCAGTCAAGGGACCTTTTAGTGTCTTGAAACTATCGAGGGAATATTTATTACCACCTTAAACACATTTAAATCACGTTATTTCATACATTTATGTTACTGACTGACTAAAGCTTCAAAAACTCAATCGCCAAGTTTAATTTTTCAGGGAAGCGTCTAAGACTATTTATGTTTCAGTACCATGCACGTGAAGGGGGTCATTAGAGCCTATTTTCATTCGAAACGTCGCGAGTAACATGTCCTTAATTTCTTTATTTCATTCTTGACTTTGAGCTGCACAGATCCGAACCTGGTCATAAATTGAAAAATATCAGGTCCTAATTCTAATGAATCATAAGTATCAGTAACGAAACATTAAAACTTCGATGCTTTGCTTTTGACTGGTAGAGATGTGTTGCGCAAAGCAGAAATTAAATCCGCAAACAACACGTGGTTAATAAAACATGGATCAGTTTCTTCAGCTTTGAAATACTGTTTCTTTCAGTTACAGTGGAAAACATTTTCTCGATGAATACAACTTCTATATAGCGACATTGGTAGAAGTTGTGTACATTTAGCTTCATTTATCCCCTCTACCTCCCCTTCACTAGTATTTAGTTAGCAGTCCTTGTATGGTATAGAATGGCAGATTGGATTGCAATTGAGCGTGCCTGATCAAACGAAATCCGGATCATTCTCAGGTGACTCTTGTTTGACGAAGAGAAGGGTCGTTGATGTAGTTTTTTAAGACTAAGATCAAAATGTCTTCAACGAAGAAATGTTCACACGTCAGCATGGATACTGGTTTCAAATCTGATATCTCGAACCAAAGCAACCGATATCAAGCTATTTTTCCTTATTAAGCTCATAATGAAGGAATAAGTTTCGGCAAATACTGTATTGAAGCTTATTGAGATAACACTCTTGGTAGTTAGTAAGCGGAAAGACAAGGAGCGGCAGTCATGTCCAGGATTGAACGGAGAAGAAACATTTACAAAATTAACGATTTTTCTTTTAACTTTCTATTTTTTTTCACGAACAAAGCGGAATACTGCAGCCTGCAACAAATGTATAATTTTATCCGCGGTGATTATCAAAGGGGAATGAATCAGTTAACTTACGGTTAATTTAGTCACTTTTACTGCTTGAAATGCTGAAATTCAAAACACTGTGTTTTCAAAATGGGGCTAGAAACTTATACAGAGATTTATTTCTCGGTCACCTTCAACCTGGTAGGGAAAAACTCAGAATGCCTCACTGTTTTTATTTAAGAGTTTGATGACTTCATGGTGAAACAACCGAAAACAACTGGGTACGAATTTTTCATACTTCATGATATTGACAATATTGATAATTGATATTTCGAGCGCGGTTCTCTAATCAAAGGTGATCAAATGCAAATTCTCTTCAAGCTGGCGGCAAACCTTTGAAAATATTAGAAGAGTGAAATTTCTTTCGATTGCGTTGTCATTGAAGGATATTGAACTAGGATTTAACTTTTACTTTTCGCTTTCTCTCCTCCCCTTTTCTTACCTCATTTTTTTCCCCTCTTGCTGGGCATTTAGTGGGCTTTATTTTGGTGGGAAAAGTTTTAGGGACAACCTTTAGGATCTTAGGATTAAAGGAAAGGAAAGGTAGGTGGATAGTGGAACAGGATTTTCATGAAAATTTTCGCGAGAATGTTCCATGGTTTTTTGCCTTTTTCTCCGGTGTCCTTGACTCAATTGTGCTCATTCTGGTATGGTTTGAAAGATCTTTTCCTTCTGCACAAGTAAGGGAAAAAGTTATCCTTGATTTTTAAAACTGATGACGTCACAAGCGGTAGAAAGGAAGCGGATCCGCACGGGTGGTTACTGGCGGCTCAGGGGCGAATGTGTTAAAATAAATTACATATTAGAACAAAATTTGTTGAAATTTCAGTGATTACTTATGATTTGTATTCTGTTAAATTTCTACTGGTTTGGTTGTCTTGAGCTTTTAGTGTAAAGTGTGTTCAGACGCCACTTTTGCTCCAGTCCCTGATGCTCATTCTCACCACCTTCCCTCCCCTCCCGCCAAAATATCCCTTTGAATAGATCTTTGAAGTCGAATCAGTATCGACGCCATCGATGATAATGATGACGAATTACAGGTCATCATGCCTGTGACGATCTGATAATGAAGAGACTATGGGATATGGTCATTCAACTTCCTCTTTCTTGTTTTGGATGCAGATTCGTACTCAGTCGCGATTCGTGTTTTGAAATAACCTCCGTGGTTTCGCATTTTTTCTCCGGCTACCCCTCCCCTTCTTGCACATGCCCCAGTCAAACCCTTTATTTTTTAAAACACTAGACTTTAATAGCAGTTGCGTCTGACGTTCAGTTCATTCAAACTCATAATTTAACGCCAGACTCTGAAGTTCAGCTCAAACTCGTCATTTTAACTCTAGCCTAAATGTAAGCAGTTTCGTCTGACATTGGGTTTTTATTGCAACAGGCGCCTGATATTTTTGAAGTTTGCCCCCGCAACAAAATCAGAAAACTCGGGATATACGGTTTACGATCAGTTTTATTGCTGCACTTTTAAAATGTATAAAAATTATTTAATCTTAACTTTTGCTTTCTTATTATAAAAGAAAAAACTACGGGAATAATACAATTCTCGGTTTTCACATGACGTCACCAAAATTCAAACTAAGGCATTATCGATTATTCCGAGTGTTACTTCCATGAGGCATTACAGCAGCTAAACACCTTTGTTTACAGCTATTGAAAGCATGTCGGAAAAAATGTGCACGCGAGAATCCTGAAAGGTAATATAGGATATGATCAACACCCTGTTCTTAGCAGCGTAGGCCGTCGAACCTACTTTTGTTACTTCCTTCGCAAACGCGTCCATGGCCTCTTGTGCCATTCTTTCAAATTTCTTTGAAAAACATTGAACTCAAAACCACCCACAGTGCCTTTCGGGATTGTCGCGTGCACTTTTTCCGACAAAATTTTTCGAAATAGCTGTATACAAATGTTCGGTTCGAAACGGCTCTTCGTTTTGCGATATAGGGACGCTTGAATTTCCAAACTTTTACGTGACGCGGTATTTAGATGGCGGCCTGGACAGCTCTCATGTAGGCTGAAAATGTTACCGACTTTTTTGAGATTTTGCTGTCTTAACATTTCTTGTTTCAGGATAGAAATTACTTTAATCTTTATGAGTTCCTCAAGGGATGAATTAACGCTTTTATAAAAAAAATCAAAGACAGATGAGTCTTTTTTATTTACGGCGGCCATATTTGTGCCCCTCGAAGGGACACCGACATGGCGTCTCCATACAAAGCTTTGTAAATTTGGGTAAAACATCATCAGTTTCTGAGTATCTCGCACATGAAATATCGCACAGTCCTGATTTTTCGCCAGGTGTTTTGTATATTGATTTTTTTCCATTTCCTAGATTCTGGGCTTTCTGTATTGAATGGTTTTGATTTTTATTTTTCATGGCGAGACGGTGAAAACAGAGAATTGATAGACGAAACGTGCACAGTTCAAGTCAAACTTACGTCAAGTGAGAAAGATGGTGTAGCAAAATTCCCATTTATCCTTTACATTTTTTAAAACCCTTAGAGAAAGCAGCGATTGAATCTCTTCAGTCACACAAAGAGAGCAAAGACATCAGCGCACACTTTTCCTCCGTTGTCTCCTTCGCTTAAATTCACCAAGTTTTCAGCGTACCATACGCGTAATTCTTGTTTCCGATGGACCCGTCTGGGAGACGTAAAGAATGGCAGAACAAGCTCAGGTGAGAGGGAATTATATCCGGGAACCTTGTACCACTTTAAGCTGGTAATCTTAGTATTGAGGAACTGACTTGGCGGAAGTAGAATGTGGTTGTCTGAGTCTGTGATGACAACATTGACTTGAGTGTTTATCCCGCTCCATCGATTGTCACCACAGCCCCAGTAAGACCAGTGGGAGGTGATTCTGGTGTCACAGGACACATAACCGTACAGATGAACCAGCTTTATGGCCGCTAATCTTCCCCGTGGGACGAAAAATCTTCCGAACCGGCTGCCTTTGGCTTCAAAACATAGTGGCCACTTGTTTACTTTGCGCCAGCCAACTGAAAGTTGGTTAAACAGAAACAAGACATTAACTGCAATTCAATTCGATTGTCCCCCCTCGGAATTTTTTTCTTAACAATTTTTATTTGATTTTCCAATCTAGACATCAGGTCTCCTCGATAAAATACGCACAACAGTTACTAACGTATTTTAATAACCCTTAGACGTCACTCTTTTTATTTCAATTTTAATTGCAGCATTTTTTCCGCACCTGAGTTGGACTGGAGTAGAGAGAGCGGGCTGTATAAATGATGTTCTATAGGAGAGGGTTGTAAGTTTTCTAGGTCTGCGTCATGTCGTCATTAGATTATGATAATTATACGGATAAGTAGCAATTTCTTAAAGCAAATTTAGATGTTAAATGTTCATAACGGAAACTTTAGGAAAACAATTGAGATTAAATCAGCGACCTCGATTTGCAATGGCGTTCTGATGTCTTCACGTCATTATTGACTTCAAATTCGAAAGGAGTTGCACTGGTAAAATAAACAAAATGCAACTATAAACAATAAATGTCATATAAATGGTCATTATCAAGTCAAGTAAATGTTCTTTTAAACAAATGGAATTTCCGGTGTTTGGATGGATACCACATCATGTCTTTACCACATTCGACGCACGTATAAGAAATGTAAAATGTAAAAATAAAAATGTCCTAGAAGTTTTAAAATCCTCGAAATATATTTCGCTCTTCGAGCCTCGTCAGTCAATTAAATTTTCATGTAAGATGCACCAAAATAGTCTGCGTGGATGGATACGAATTAGCCGGAAATGAGATATTTCTGCGGTACGGGAGCAGTGGAGACTGGGGAGTCTCAATTGAAGCGCAGTATGGGTAGAATGGAGTGCTGTAAAAGGGAAGCTTATCACCAAACTCGTCCCCAGGGAGCTTTTCCCTGGCTTGCGCCCTAGGGACGAGGCTGGCTTATCACGTGGGAAAGCATTCTAGGCCGACACCTCGTTTAGCCCACGTTATTATTTATTTACTTATTTTTTAATTAATTTATTTTTCATATATTTGATCTATTAAGTAACAGATGGAGTTTCGCGAGGGTTTTAACTTGTTTTCGTTATTTTTCGTTTGTTTTCGAATAATTATTTTGAATTTACCATGCTTTGTTGGAATACATGCTTAGTAAATGTGGGCTTTTAAGAGCATGAGCCATGGATCCTACCCAGATTTCCTGCCGAGATTTTTCCCTTGTGGGTTTTCTTTCCGGCAGGTTTTTTTCTACCCTCCGTTCGACAGTATTCTTTATTCGTTCACTTCTGTTCTAGTTTATCTACCACCTTTTGAATGTAATAGAAGTTGACGTATTGTTATATCTCGATGCTCGGCCAAAACAGCCAAACTAAACCTATTGGTTTTTCGGTTCATGCTGTACGGCGTAGTGGAGCCGAAATAGAGCTTTAAACCAATGGAATCGTCCTGGGTGTTGAAGTGTGGATTGCGCGGTTGATAAAGAGAAGTTCGTAGACTAAGACGAGCCATTCAAAACGTCCTAGAGACTTGCCAAGAATGTGAAAATGACTTTTGCTTAAATTACGTACCTTGTTGGTGCTAATTTCCCGATTTTTGCGAGACAGTATTTCTCGGGGTTTTATTTTCGCCATTTCAAGGCAAGACAAGAAAATTATTACCATAATATTGTGTAAAATTTCTTGGCACACACTTAGCCAAAAACGCTAGTTCCAAATTAATTCTATACAAAACAGATATTACCTGATAATAAGTAAAAAGCAAAGAGAACAGCACAGAAAGAATAATTTATGTATAATAAAGTGAAAAGCAAGAAAAGTAAATCTGTTTAATGCAAGTTGTGAAAGAAGCTAATGTTTAGGATTTCGCAGTTTCATTTCTTGCGTTATCATGGTTGCATCAAGGTCATAATCTTTGTCTTTTAATAATTCAAATAGCACACTGATTAATTTTCGTGTAAATGCTTTTTTTGACATATCTCTTCCATAATTTAGCGCCAAAATTGAGGAGGTTTGTATTAGTTTTCAAGATTAAATTTTTTAATGTACATATTTTTGGAGGATGATCTTGTGTCATAAGCATGAATAAATGATATCTGCTGGAACAAATTAACGATTTTGGAGGGTGCAGTATTAGTATGAATATCATGCATTAGGTGAGATACAGACTTAAAATAGAGAAAGGTAATTGGCAGGATATTTGTATCAATAAAAAGAGGAATGGCATGATCATTCCCGTTGGCAAAAAATATAAATCGGAGTAATTTTTTTCTCAAGCAAAAAGATTTTTGTTTAATGTGTTTTTGAGACGTCTTTCCCCGTACTGTCAAACCATAACCTTAATTTAGCGATTAAACCAACCGTTTTTCTTAATTTAGTAGCTTTATTGTCAATGTGTATTTTCCAAGAGAGATTTTTGTCAATTAAATTGCCTTAATATTTAACATAATTTTTCATTTCTAAAGTTGCGTATCGATTGGTATCAGTTGACATGGTTAAGGTTTAATTTATTAGAGATAAGCCAAAGATACAACTTTTTAAGCTCAGAATTTACTGTTGTGTCAAGTGACCTTAGCTTCTTATTAGCATGTAGTATGTTAGTATCATCAGCAAAGAGGTAGAAGTTAAATGTATCAGAGCAAGTGTGAATATCATTAATGTATAAGAGNAGGATGATCTTGTGTCATAAGCATGAATAAATGATATCTGCTGGAACAAATTAACGATTTTGGAGGGTGCAGTATTAGTATGAATATCATGCATTAGGTGAGATACAGACTTAAAATAGAGAAAGGTAATTGGCAGGATATTTGTATCAATAAAAAGAGGAATGGCATGATCATTCCCGTTGGCAAAAAATATAAATCGGAGTAATTTTTTTCTCAAGCAAAAAGATTTTTGTTTAATGTGTTTTTGAGACGTCTTTCCCCGTACTGTCAAACCATAACCTTAATTTAGCGATTAAACCAACCGTTTTTCTTAATTTAGTAGCTTTATTGTCAATGTGTATTTTCCAAGAGAGATTTTTGTCAATTAAATTGCCTTAATATTTAACATAATTTTTCATTTCTAAAGTTGCGTATCGATTGGTATCAGTTGACATGGTTAAGGTTTAATTTATTAGAGATAAGCCAAAGATACAACTTTTTAAGCTCAGAATTTACTGTTGTGTCAAGTGACCTTAGCTTCTTATTAGCATGTAGTATGTTAGTATCATCAGCAAAGAGGTAGAAGTTAAATGTATCAGAGCAAGTGTGAATATCATTAATGTATAAGAGGAAAAGCAACGGTCCTAGTACAGACCCCTGTGGAACACCATTAAATATTAGATCTGTATCAGATATTCTGGTTGTTAATTTCTAATGTTTGTTATCTGTGGCACAAAAAGGATTCAAAGCAGTTATTAATTATTCCACGAAAACCATAACGATTAAACTTATTTGGAAGAATTTGATGGTTAACTGTATCGAAAGCTTTCTTAAAGTCAATAAAAATTCCACGGGTAAATAAACGTTTATCCATATTAGACTGAATTGCACTAACGACATCTCACAGGAATTCGGTCTATGGAATCATATGTGATGATTCATGTGATGATGTCATAGCACTCTACAAATCATAACAAATCATAACTATGCTTCTAACTGAGCACATACAATCATTTCACAATCATAGGCATGATGCAATGTGTGCAGTTAGAATCATTTCTGGAATCATAACATGATTTTTACGTGTACACATAAAAGCATCTCTAAAATCATAACATGATTTTATGAGTACACATAACATCATCTCTGGAATCATAACATGATTTTACATGTACACATAACATCATCTCTGGAATCATAACATGCATGATTTTATACATGCAAATAACATCATCTCTGGAATCATATCATGATTTTATGTGTACACATAACATCATCTCTGGAATTATAACATGATTTTATGTGTACACATAACATCATCTCTGGAATCATTACATGATTTTAGGTGTACACATAACATCATCTCTGGAATCATAACATGATTTTATGTGTACACATAACATCATCTCTGGAATCATAACATGATTTTAGGTGTACACATAACATCATCTCTGGAATCATAACATGATTTTATACACGCAAATAACATCATCTCTGGAATCATATCAGGGTTAATAGGTCACAAATCCCTCCTGTCTCTCCTTACCTGTAGTATCACTGACCTCTTCAGTCTATATTAAACTATGATCCTTGATTTAAAGTCTTTGCAACAGTGATGCAATATGTGTTTTTTTAAAAATTTATTTCTGGGTGCCCTCATTAGTAAAGGGCTACCCTTTTGAAAAATGCCTCACGTGCACTTCTCTCATATCTTCATCGCACGCAGTGAAGATACTATTTTTTCTTTCAAGTATGACGATATTGGTGTTGCCATGGTTACTAACGTGATTTTTCTCTTCTTCATTAGAATTTTGACTTTTTGGAACAGAAAATAATATTATAAGTATTATTGTCTTTATTTCTCCTTTATAACTTTATATCCGAGTTTCATAACATTTTTGTGACAGGCATTTTTCAACAGGTGACCCCTTTAATTGCACTATTTTGCTGTTTCAAAAATGAATTTTAAAAAAGTTGTGTTTTATGTAGGAATTTGATCAGTATCTATAAAATAAACAGAACATTACATGGCCCTGCGGGGATACAAATTTTATCTTCTCGTGCTAAAAGTATCTCTCACTCGTTCGCTAATCGCTCACTTGTGAGAGATACTTTCAGCAGTCGCAGATAAAATTCATATCCCCGCTCGGCCATGTTATATTCTCTATTTTATTTTATACTAATGAAATATTTAATCATTTCCCCCTAATTTGTTGCTGTAAAAGGTGCACACTTGGGCCGCAAATAAACTATATCAAGCCCTTCAAAAGTAATGTGATTGACCTATTATATACAGGGATGTTTTAAAAACATCTAAAATGTGCTTATGAAGACAGGTTGTACTTAAATCTTACATAGCATAAATTCAGT